AAATAAATTCCAGTGAAAATGCTATTTCCCTCATACTCTATTGAGACTTGACACAGCACAGTGAAAATTTGATTCACACAATAGGCTTGAAAACTTTTCATCGAAAATAAATTAAGTGAAATTCTGTGTGATTTCATGAGAGTTGAAAATGAAAAAATTATATGACACCCAACCCTACCACTCCATACACAATGTAACCACACCTCAAAAACATCCTTTCACCAGTGTATTCTATTTGAATTCAGGAGAAATTTAAATAAACAAATTATATGACAACGAACTTAATTATAATTTCAACCTCTAGTTCAGCACTGATTAAATAAACTACCTCGTCTTTATGCCAACTTAAAGTTATTCAATGCCTACACCAGTGACTTCAAAATCTATGTTTCAATTCCAGGAATTTCACTTGCTATTAATTGTATGGGAGTGCCAGTCTTTTATTTTCTATTGTAATGTCAATTTCTTGTGATTACTCGGAAAATGAAGCTGTAACCACAGACCACAGTGCTGCAACTAAATCCTGGTTTTAAGCACCGATTAGGCAGTCTTGAACTATGCATGTGAAGCCACCTGAGAGGTATATCCAATCCTATAGATTTCTCATTGTTTGGTAACTATTTGCTGCAAATGCAACAAAAATCAATATAAAAATATTACCCACACAGCATTCTACAGGTTACTTGTTACATGTATAGGTCTGTGCACATATGTCCAGGGCTCAGATACCAAGTTTCATTATAATATGACAATTAATTCTTTAGAAATCAATGGAAAGCCAAAAAGTAAATTATTATGCAAATTACGTAATTACTATGGATATATATAAACCCGAAACTGATTAGATTGTTGCATTGTATTAGAGTATTTATGTACCAGGATTCATTGAAATAAGATGAGTACTTGAGTTATTGATGGAAAAGCTGAAAACTGACTATTAGGCAAATTAGGTAATTAATATGCACAGATTATTATTATGCATGCACCCAGAACTAATCATGTCTCTGTATTGTCTCAGAGCATCTGTGCAACAAGTTTCATCAAAATCCAATGAGTCATTCTTAAGATATCAATGGAAAAGTCATGGAACACCTAATAATTAGCTATTTATCTTGCATATTAATTACCTAATTGAACCCAAAACCTAATCAAATCTGTGCATTAGCCCAAAGCATTTATCAAATGCCAACATATGGTTCTTGAGATATCAGTGGAACAGGCGGACACATACCGCTACTCACACAAAAACAAACACACTAACTGCAAAGACTTCGCACACGAGAGTAAAAAATATGAGATCATTGTACCTCTTATGTGGCTCAATGAAAGATGGCGGTACTTCTCCTGAAGACAGCTCCATATCCAGTACTTCATCAATCTCTTTCTGTGACTTGACAGGAGCATTTTCTTCATCCTTTGTATCGCCCACTGCAGACCGAGAACCCTTTTTTCGTCGGGTTTTCTTCTTCTCACGCTGCCTCAGCTTGTTTCGATACCTTTCAAGTTCAGCTTTCTGTCTTAGTGACTCATTCAACTGAATTCAAGAATAGATATGTGTTACTGAATGACAAGGTAAATTATTACCCCAAGAGACATATGTGGAGACAATTCATTCAAACTTGAGCTGTCTTCTACATACACAGAGTATTGTCTTCATGTCACAAACACATGTAGTATTGCATTCCTTCATTCACAACTCAGTGTCTCACAAAAGGATAAATACTGGCAACACGCATGTCTGGCACATGTATTACGGTATATGGATGAGGTTTTCACCCCAAAATAATATGCATACATGTATACCTTGGTAGATTCTTCAGATTCCATCGGTGTCAATGACGTGGGGATTACCAAAGACCTTGCTCTTCTATCTTTCTCATCCGTTGCCATTGACAACTGAGCTACATGTTGAAATAAGCCGGCCTGCCCAGCATTTCCTCTTGGTGGCAGTGGTCTCTGTACTTGGTTAGTTGTCATTTTTTTGCTATCATTCGTAACTGCGGAATCTGTATCTGACATTGTGTATTCATCATCAATTCTCCTAGTTAACAAAAACAAAATAGAAATTGACTGTAGAGGTAGTTTTCTCATATTAAAAGAACTAATCATGCAGCTTGTTTGATTACTCACTTTATGGTTGGTTGTCTGTTTTCTACTTCATTCTCATTGGTTACTTTTTGTGGCAATTCTCCAGCATTAATAACAAGACCTTTATTTTCAATTCCATTCATATCTTTCGCAACATCAAATCCTCTTGGTGTATTATTACCAGATGGGTAATGACGATATGGATACTGAGATAAGAAATAGAAACAATATGCTTAAATATAATTAATTGATTTCTAAATAAGGGTGTGTCTACATAATGCAGTCAGAAGAATGCTTTGTTTATAGCTCTGTCACACACAAATAATGAGCACTGTAGACGTCACTCTAATTTAGGTGTCAGGAAAGAGTAAAATGCCTTAATTTGGTTCTAAAATAGGCATCTAAACTGTTCACATAAAAACCACATAACAGCATAATAGTGATTCTAATCTAATACGTATTGGTGTTAATTTTGTTGGTAACAAAAAGTATATTCTATACGTTTCAAATAAACAAACACGATTGCATTGCTTCGTAGTAAATGATCATGATGGCTTAATCTGGTCATGTTGCATTTCACAAGCAAATATTTACTTGTTTTCTCGGTGTTGCAAATGTTGATTACCGGTATTACTCAGTTGTGATTGCAATAACATATAAAATAAGTCATTGAAAATGACACAGTCCCCGTTAAATTTTTGAAAGTTCTCTTTGTGCTTGTCATATTAAAGCGGGGATTGGGGGGTTGGGGGGTTGGGTTGTTGCAAGCGTGTCCTTGAAACATGAGTTCCAAGTGGCGTATACAACAGATTGTTTATTTCTATCAAAACACGTGTTCCGTGTAGTAGTAATATGGCCAAAAATAAAAACAGCCGTCTTTGGCCATCTTTGATCTGAATATGAAACACACTGATATGTATGATGTATGTGCCAAATACAAATGAAAATGGTACATAAATTGTGGAAATATAGTAGTAAGGCCAAAAAGTCAGATTGCTGTCATTCGGCCATCCTTGACCAGATTTTGAAACAAATTGTTCTGGACATGCATCCTAACATGTATAAAGTACATGTATGTGCCAAATTTGAATGAAAACTTACAGAGCACTTCCAAGATACCGCATAAAAAAACAAAAACAAGATGCCTGCCAGTCGTTCATCTTTGATCCAATTGCGAAATAAATTGTCATGTAACCTAACATGTATAATCTATGTACCAAGTTTAAATGACAACTGACAAAGCATGTCCAAAATACAACATTTTCAAAAAACAAGATGGCAGCCAGTCGGCCATTTTGAATCGAATCGCTAAACCACTGCATGTGCATATGTCCCACATAAGGTACTAGGCATATGCAAAGAATGAACGGAATCGGCCCACAGGATTCTGAAATATGACTATTGACAGACTGACGCACGAACGGACGGACGGACGGACAGACTCAGGAACTCACGGACGGTCGGGACATGTATGCTAACATGTATGATCGATGTACTAAATTTGAATGAAAACTGACAAAGCATGTCCAAAATATGACATTTTCAAAAAACGAGATGGCTGCCAGTCGGCCATCTTTGATCCAATTGTGAAATAAATCGTCATGGACATGTATTCTAACATGTATAATCTATGTACCAAATTTGAATGAAAACTGACAAAGCATGTCCAAAATACAACATTTTCAAAAAACAAGATGGCTGCCAGTCGGCCATTTTGAATCGAATCGCTAAACCACTGCATGTGCATATGTCCCAGATAAAGTACTAGGCACATGCAAAGAATGAACGGAATCGGTCCAAGGAATTCTGAGATATGACTCCTTACGAACGCACGGACGGAGACCGAATTATAAGTCCCCGTTTTCGGACTTTGTCCAAACGGGGACTAAAAAAATTAATTTGTTGGTTTGTTTGAAATGCAACAACTTAGTTTCATCATAGTAAACAAACATTTTAATCACACTCAAATGCTCAATATGATACAATATCCACCATGTTTTTTCTACACACGATTTGACCTGAAATTGTGTTTTTCGACCTGATTGGTCAAGCTGATAAATAACTAATTGGAATGCTGAATAGTGTTTGGATTACCATAGTTCCCTTGAATATGTTAATTAGGATACAGCAACATCACTGAATGGCAACACAAAAGAGATTTACCAATGTTGTATTACAATATGTTGGCATTGATTTTGGTGGAAAAAAAAGTGAAAAAACTTTTTCCAGCTCATTGTTGAAATGGAGTTTTCCCATTCACTCTAGTCACTATTAATATTGTACTGAGAAAAACTTAAATTGGACTCTAATTTATGTCAAACAAAAAATGGCACCTAAATTTAAGGTATTCACAGCAGATCACAAAAATATAAACAAACAAACTGATGCCTTATTTATAGCACTGGTTGCATGTCATAATCGGCAGTAGTGCTTACAGCAAGTCTTAGAAGTATTGGGGCAGCCAATTTGCAAACTCGCTAGCGAATTGGCTAACTGCTTGGGTTTTGACTAAATGGTTGGCTTTCGAATCTGCCTGGAGCCATCTTGCGGTCACGCCTACTTAAGATGAATCTATGTAACAGTAGGGGACGATCCCCAAACTTTAGGAGCTAATCAGCGACGGTCTTACAGTTGGATGGCGATTTCGCTTTCAAATATACCAGGGAAAGTGTTCTATGCTCTTCGTGTCCACACAAAAACAACGAATGAGGTCGATTTTTCCAGCGGTTGGCTTAATGTTACCCCAACGGATCGTTTAAGTATGAAAGTTTGTTATTTTCTCTCCGATTTGGAGGAAACTGTTTCTCAACTTATCTATTTAGTTTCAAGCAGTGTTCAAGATGGTTACCCTCATATAATAAATATCGGTCACGGTGGATTAATCATATTTATCATATCATCACTTGTACGCTAGCTGACTGTGACCAGTTTCGGGTTCAAATCATTCAGGGGAATCCAGACATGTACCAGGCTAGGTAAAAACATTCTATGTCCCCTAATGCAATATAGACTCGCCAAGAGTGGACGTGATCACAAGCCGGCGCTAGCGAGATTCGAAGGCCAACCGTTTAGTCAAAACCAAAGCAGTTAGCCAATTCGCAAGAGAGTATGCAAATTGGCTGCCCCAATACTTCTTAGACTTGCTGTAATATATTAGAATTATACATGGATTTCAATCAAAAACTAATCTAGTCTGCGGGTCATCTCAGGGCATCCAAGTTCAAAGTTTCATTGAAATCTGTTAAATGGTACTTGAAAAGCAAGTGGAAATGTTTAAAATTGGCTAATTAATATGTAAATTAGGTAATTAATATTCAAAGATTGCAACCAGAAACTAATCAGGTCTGTGCATTACTCCGGTCCATCTATGAATTAAGTTTCATTGAAATCTGATGGGTAGCTCTTGAGAAAAAGTAAAAAAATCTTAAAATTGGCTAAATAATATGCAAATTGTATTATCAGATAATCAGATCTATAGATTATCCCATCTATGTAACAAGTGTCATTGAAATCTGTTAAATGGTACTTGAAAAACAAGTAAAAATACTGTAGAATACTTTATTTTCGCATGGAATTTATTTTCGCTATTTTTGCTGAAGGGATGATTCTGTGAAAATAAAATCCAGCGAATATACTTTTTTTCCTTAATTTCACATTAAACTCATCAAAAATCAGTGAAAATAAAGTCCATACAAAACACCCGAAAAGCCTTTTCAGCGAAAATTAATTCCAGCGAAAATAAAGTATTCCACAGTACTTAAATTTGGCCAATTAATATGAAAATTATTATTTAAAGTTGCAACCAGAAACTAATGTATATTTCCCCAGACCATTCATGTATCAGGTTTCATTAAAATCTTAAGCTAATTAATATGTAAAATAGTTAAAGAGACACACACACACACACACACACACACATATGCATGCATGCATACTGGTACATACAGACGCATTAACCGCAAATACTCCCACTTTGTGCTTGACACGGGAGTCAATAACAATCAATTTGGCAGCAAATAAGTGATAAATTGGAATTATTCCTTAGCAGGTAAATCTTGGTGAGTTTGCTTGAATTGTAAGTCACATTTTTCATGTAGCAAGTTTTTTTAGAGAAATTACTTTTCTTGTGTTTTCTCCCCCAAATGTCAATCAAATGATTGTATTGTATATTCAAGTAATTGAAGCCAGTAATAACTGCATTATTAAACAAACAGTTCCCAGTGAAAAGTGCAATAAATGGTCCCTTGATTGAATAAAAATATTTTTCTGGTAAATTTTGTAAGGCAAAGAAAAGGTATGAGAGCAATATGAATACAACTTGATTACTCTATATATAAATACCTGTATTTGATTTTTATATCTTATATATTACCTTTCATGGGAAAAACACTGAATCAAAGTAAGAAATATAAAACAAACCTTCTGTTTATACTGTATTATTTTCAAAGTATCCGGATCAATATCGGTATCTCTTTTCTTCACACAGAAGCAACAACAAAAGAATGCACATAGGAATAATATAAAGAGGGGTACAAGAACAGCAGCAATAATCCAAAGTTGATCATCTTCAGTGACAGGAGGTATAGGTGTTACCGTAGCTGGAATGTACTCTGAAAAAATCCATATAGATGACTTTTAATACACAATTACATTGTTGAAGCAATTCTGTTCAATCCCACCATTGTTATACACTGTGAGTCTCACTCACCTTTCACATTATTAATTTTTAAACAGACTTGTTTGCAATATTGCCACAATTATACACTCCAATTTCCCACTTGAAGTTACTGTACTATTATTTTTAAATATTTTTTCCATGGTGCTGATTTGCTGATTTTGGTTTTGACTTAAGACTGATGGTCCCCCAGACTTGCTGGAGCTGACAAGTATTTCTTTATATTTTTTTATATTTTTTGTCTTCGTTATAACTGTTTTATTTATTTTTTGCATATAAGCAGTGTTTTGCAGATATCAAAACCATAAATCATGTTTAAAGTTGTTTACGGTACCCAGTTTTGCAAAGTTTTGAATTACTGTAAAATCTCATTCAAAACCTGGCACAATTTTGTGATGTTTTCCCAATATGGCCAAAAAGGTTTAGGGTCGGGAAGTAAAAATAAAGTAGTGGGTTATAGTTGACCTTAGTCTTCAAACCACATATATATATACAAACAA